TGCCAGTATCACTTGGGGGCCTCGGAATCACTGACCCCGCGGTCGAGGGCAGCTACAGCTACCTAGCTAGCTTTACCCAGGCACAGCAGCTGCTCTCAACCCTCGAAGATAGCCAGCTGGGGCCCCTGACAGGGACACGGGTGCAGATGATGGGACCGTATACAGACTCCTGCGCTCTCTACCGCTGGCTAGCTCAGTGCGAGGCAGACCTACCGAGTGATGCCGGGGAGCTACTACAGAGTGACAGGGCTGCTCCCACGGGTGTGAAGCTGCAACAGGGGCTAGCTTTGGCAGTTCAGGGCAGAAGGTATGCTAACCAGGTGGAGAGCACAAGGGGCATGACCCCAAACCCCAATAGCGGCCATACGCAGCGCCTTCTCTCTTTGTCAGGGTACGGAGCCGGGGACTGGCTCCATGCAGTCCCGCTCATGCCCTCCCTGAGGCTCGACGGTCCCCAGTTTGCCACAGCCCTACAGTTCAGGCTAGGACTACCATTTTCAGCCCCCGGCGCTTGTGACTGCACCAAGCAGGTTCCCATCCCAGACAATCGGCTTCCAAACCATCTGCTACGCTGCGCCACAGGAGGGGGAAGGACAAATACTCACAACGAGCTGAGAGATGAGTGCATTAGGATGGCACAGTACGCCGGGTTCATGGTGCACAAGGAAACGTCGGAGTTCTGCCCGGTCACTAGGAAGACAGCGGACCTCGCCATTCGTGAACGGTCTTCAGGGGCAGTATGGATCGGGGACGTCACCATCACTGACCCCATCAGCACACGTGACCCCAATGCGGTGAAAGGGAGGGGGTGGGCTGCCAGGGAAGCCGCTGACAAAAAAATCTCAGACTACAGCAGCTCCCCGGCAGCCTACGTCTCATTCGTACCCCTCGCAGTCGAGACTTATGGCTGCCCATGCGCAGAGGTCCCCGCTTTCCTCAAGCTCTTGGCTCACACGGCTGCACGCAAGCTCTTCAACGCCGACCCTTCAACCTACCAGGCGGCAAAACTACTCAACCAGTTCCGCCAGAGATGGTCGGTCGCCCTTCAGCGCGCGCAGGCCGTAAGCTACATGGCCAAGTGCAACATGGCAGCAGAGGCCCAGAACCCTCTTGTCGGGGCCCCTGGCGAGGAAATGTCCCTGGGGGACTGTTTTGTGGTGCTCGAACCTACTGCTGAGCCCCCTTAGGAGCTCCCAGTGGAGGGGGGGTGGCTGGTGGGTAGGGTTGTAGGTTGATCTTCGGATCTGGGTTGCTGCTAGGTTGTTCTTTTAGTCTCTAGTGTTGCCTGTTTCTATTCTGCCTCGATCGTTTGTACTCACCCGTTATATCAATACAAGGACCGCTTGAGAGAGAGAGAGATCTTTTCACCGAGGGTGCCCATGCCCTGAGTCAGTAGACTTCCTGAAATTACTCGCAGAAACGGCTGCACGGCGATTTTTCAACGCCGAGCCAACCTCCTACCAAGCTGCCAAGCTCTTACACCAATACCGGCAGCGGTGGTCGGTGGCTCTTCAACGTGGGCAGTCGATTGGGTACCTGGAAAAGTGCAACATAGCAGCAGCGGTTGAAAACCCACTACTAGAAGTAGTGGGTGAGGCCCCGTCCCTTGGGGACTGCCTCTCAGTTCTTGATCCTGCACTGGATCTCACTTAGAGGGTGTTGAGCTTATGGGTGGATAGGATCTCTTTTCTCTACTAGCCCCACGACCATGATAACTTATACCTTGCATGTTTGTACACCCTGACTATCACCGCCTAATTGCCCTTACCAAGCCAGGAAGGGGGACGAGGCCGATAGCCATTGGCAAAAGCCTCGCATGCCTTACCGCCAAAACAGCCCTTACCTTGACGGCAGGCGCCGCTCGAGACTTTTTCTTACCGCAACAATTCGGCGTAGCGGTACCAGGGGGAGCGGAGGCGATCATACACATCACTCGAACCTACCTTACCGTGAACCCTGGAGCGCTAGTTCTGCAGGCCGATTTAGCGAACGCCTTCAACAGCGTTAGCCGTGCCGCCATCGCGGAGTCCCTTCGTGGATCGACGCTAGCTCCACTACTGCCGCTCGTGAAACTGTCCTACGGCCACCCCTCCTCCCTATGTCTGGATGCCGGTTTCTCGCACCCACCACTCTTGAGCAAAACCGGGGTGAGGCAAGGAGATCCCCTCGGCCCCTTGCTGTTTGCTGCGGCCATTCACCCCGCGTTGACGAGTACGGCCCTCGCCTTCCCGTCCGTGGTATGCTTGGCATACGCGGACGACGTTACCTTTCTTGGAGAAGCAACGGCTTGTACGGCGGCGTTTGAACAATTCACGGGAAGCCTTGGGGAGATTGGGCTGCAACACAACCCCACTAAGTGTGCGGCATGGTCACAGGCGTGCCTTTCAGTGACGACGGTGTGAAGGTGCTGGGCAGCTTCGTCGGTGGAAATGACGCAACCGCTGCGTTCCTACGCGACAGCCTTGATGCAATGGGAGCCCCACTTCGGCTTATCGCAAGGATGGAACCTCAGCTGGCGTCTCTCCTACTTACCAGATGCATCTCGCGACGCGTCTGCTATGTTGCGCGCACCACACCGTTCTCTTCCCTGCCAGTGGAGGAATGGTCGGACTGGGGCAAGGGATTGTTTGACACACTGCTGACGGCCTGCGGCATACGACACCCAAGGGGGGAGGCAGAGATAACACGAACCTGGGCCCAAGCCTCACTCCCGATCTCGCTTGGAGGCTTGGGACTCGCGGACCCGTCGGTGGAAGGCCGCATTGCGTTCCTAGCGAGCTACACACAAGCACAGCATTTGCTTACCTCCATTGACGAGGCAGCGGTCGGCGCCTTAGCGGAAACGCGGATCCAGATGGCTGGACCGTACCTCAAAACGGCCCCAATTTTTGACTGGTTGGAGAGGTGCGAGGAGCTGCCGCCTGAGGATGGGAAGGAGCTGCTGCAGAGTGACCGCGCTGATCCCAAGGGCATCAAGCTGTAGCATGGGCTAGCAATCACGGTCCACGGACGCCGCTATGCTGAGCAGGTTCAGGCCACGTGCATCATGCCGCTCAACCCCCTTAGCGGGCACACACGGCGCATGCTCTCCCTCTCGGGGTACGGGGCAGGGGATTGGCTCAATGCAGTCCCCTTTAACAAGTCGCTGCGCCTTGCCCCAGACCACTTTGCCCATGCACTGCAGTTCCCAATGGGCCTTCCCTCCTCTGCACCCGGGGCTTGCGACTGCCGCAACAACAAGGCAATCACAGACCGACGGCTGCCCAACCACCTTCTGCGCTGTGACACAGGGAAGGGGAGGACCAACACTCACAATGAGTTGCGGGACGAGTGCCTGCAGATGGCCAACGATGCGGATTTCATGACTCACGGAGAGGCAACCGCATTCTGCCCCGTCACCAGGAAGAAGGCAGACATAGCAATCAGGGATAAATCCTCGGGGGCGGTCTGGATTGGGGACGTGACCATCACGGATCCATCCCATTAGCACCCGCGATCCCAACGCAGTCAAGGGCAGGGGGTGGGCAGCCCGTGAAGCAGTGGAGAAGAAGATCTCCCTTGTGGGTCGGATTCTTCCCTCTCGCCGTCGACACTTACGGCTGCCCATGCGCAGAGGTCCCCCAGTTCCTCAAGCTGCTAGCCAACACCGCCGCTCACAGGTTCTTCAATGTGGCCCCCTCATCCTACCAGGCCACAAAGCTGCTGCACCAGTTCCGCCAGAGGTGGTCCGTGGCACTGCAGCGGGCCCAGTCAGTGAGCTTCATGGAGAAGTGAAACTTTGCGACACAGGTGGAGAACCCACCTGTGGAGATGCCAGGCGAAGGCATGTCCCTTGGGGACTCCCTTGCCATCCTGGAGCCGGTGCTGGAGCTCCCTTAGACGGAGCAGGGTGGGGGGGGGGGGGGGGGGGGGGAGTAGGACATGTGGGTTAGAGGCTGAACTGTCTGTGCTTTCTCTATCCTGTGCATGTCTGTACTTGCTTGGATCTAATACACGGACCGCTTGAGACGGGGGGAGAGGGGGGAGGTTGGGGTTGGGGAGGAGGGGAGATGGGTGCGAAGGCAGAGTGTGTTGGCAGGACGTGAAGGAAGAGAGGCATCTTCCTGCCTCTCTTGCACCTTCCTGCCTCTCTCGCATCTTCCTGCCTCTCTCGCATCTTCCTGCCTCTCTCGCATCTTCCTGCCTCTCTCGCATCTTCCTGCCTCTCTCGCATCTTCCTGCCTCTCTCGCATCTTCCTGCCTCTCTCGCATCTTCCTGCCTCTCTCTCATCTTCCTGCCCCTCTCGCATCTGCCACCCACCCACCACTCTCTGCTGCCCTCAATGATGATCTCCACGATGATGCCCTCCTTCCCCTCCCACTATTCCTCCCACGCCTCACCCCCGTCCGCCTCTGCCACCCTGCCTGCCCTGCCAGCAGCGACAAGAAACAGAATACAATGGCAGCGCCACCTACCATGCTCTCTGCCCTTCCCTGCTTCCCCAGAATTCCCACAGGATGGACCACACAATGGAATGCAACGCCCTTATCACCTTCCTCCCCTCATGCGAAAACACTCACCACCTCACCCACAGCTTCGTACCAAGCCTCTCTTTGGTCCCAGACCCGCCTTCTCCACGCACCGCCCACCATCCCCCACGCACCACCAGAAGACCACCTGACGACACTCTGCACCCCACTTGCCTGAGAGCTGAGGGCGTGGCTTTCATCATCCACACGACCAAGGTTGAAAAATACGGTGATCGTAATTTACGGTCCGTAATTTACGGTTGTAAATTACAGTGCTTTTTGCAAAAAAACGGCCGTAATTTTGTTGGAGTTTTTGTTGCATTTTTTTTTCCAGAAACTTCTAGGCAGCTTACATTGATGACCAGGAAGGCTACAAGAAACTACATGACAGAGAAACAAGCCTACAAACAATGGACCACTACACTATCATGCATTGCTAAGCCTTTGTAGCTAGAAATACACCAAATCCCTCCCCCTCCTCCTCTCTCTACCTACCCCTCCTCCTCCTCCTCCTCCTCCTCCTCCTCCTCCTCCTCCTCCTCCCCACTCTCACCATCACTGCGGTCCCAGGGCTGGACACCCTTAGCACGCTTGGAGGGTGCTTCCTCCTGCCCACTGCTTTCTGCCTCCTCATCCTCCTCCTCCTCCTCCTCTGCACGCTTTCCTTTCGCCTTCCGCATGCATGCACTTTTCCCCTTCTCCTTCCTCTTCCTCTTGGAGCACTCACCCGCCCTCTTCTTCTTCTTCTTCTTCTTCTTACCGATGCTCCCAAATTCGTTCCAATCAATGGTGCACTCCACCTCGGCTCCCTCCTCTTCAGCCACCCCTCCCTCTTCTTCCATTGCTGCTGGGGAGACGGCACTGCCCTCCTTGAGGGTTCCGTTGGTAAGGTCGGCATACAACTTAGCACGGGCCTCAGATTTGCGATCGAATGCATCGCGGGCCCTCCTGGTGAAGGCCACGAAGGTGACATCCGTCATCTTCTTCACGGAGATGCGGTTGCGGTCCCGTCTCTGCACACGTGCAAGGTTGGACCAGAACCGCTCCACCTCGGATGAGGTGACCGGCTGTGATAGGGTAAACACAGCCAGCTCCTGAAGCGTTTGTACTTCCCCACCGAAAATCCCCTACCACTCCGCATCCGTCATGCGCCCCCCCTCCACCAGGTTCCTGGCTGCCCATCGAGCGTCATCCGATCCAAGGCGGCCCTCACCCTTGTGATACTGCGCGAGCTGTGCAAACACCTTGATGCGCTCAGCCACATCCCCCCCACGGGCCTGAATCACTTCTTCGGTCCCTTTCCTTATCTCTGGATCGTTTCTCACCTCCCCCGCGTATTGGTTGCGGGGATTGAGGAGCCATCCAATGGCATGCAGGGCGTTATGGAGCTGGCCATCCCATCTCTTCGCAAGGACGGTCTTGATGGCAGCTAGGAATGTGTTCTTGTCCTTAGCCGGCAGCAGGCCCGTCTTCTTGACGAAGACAGAGGCTGCTCACGGTGAAGAGGGAATAAAATTGGGGTCAGTCCAAAGAGTGGCAAGCGTGTGTATGATGGAACATGGATCACAGATTCGGTGCGGTACGAGGTGATGAAAAAAAAAAACAGAATCGGTTATGGCACTTACCAGCAGCCTCGGCAGCTACCCTCGTTTTGATTGTGACATCATATGAGGCCATAGACCTGGCCCATGATTTGTGCCCGCGTGTCGACAACCCGCAGCACTTCATAAACCGGCGTGAGGAGGTTGAGAACCGCCATAGCACACTCCCAAAACACGTCATCCAGTAGAAGCCTCCGCACCTCCTGCCCCTCAGGCTGTCGCGCCACCGGCACCACTTCCCATTCCTCGCTGATGACCATGGCACGGAGAGCTTTCTTCACCTCTAGGAATCGGCGCAACATGATGACTTGGGTTCCGAAACGCGTCGCACCCGGCCGCACCAAGGCAAGCTTGGTGAAAAATTCGCGGAAAAGCACGACGGCGGAGGCGCTCCCCTTGATCATCATGACGACCCGGTGAACTTGCTCCAAAACGCGCTTGACGGCCGTAATGTTGCCTAGGTCGTGAAGCATGAGGTCCAAGCAGTGGGCCACGCAGTTGGTGAAAAAAACCTGGGGAAAGTCGACCTCAAGCTTCTTAGCCGCGGCTCGGTTGTTCGAGGCGTTGTCCATTACGACCTGGACCACGAGGTTCTTCCCCACACTGAGGATCGCGGATTCGATGAGACCAGCGAGGTAGTCCCCTGTTTTCTTGGCGGTTTTTGAGTCCACGATGTTGACAATCACGGGCGCGGTGTCGTTGTGGGCGATGACGCACACCATCCCGCGGGACTTGAGGCACGTCCACCCGTCCACCGAGAGACTGCACCCGGACGTCTTCCATGACTCCTTAATCGGCCGCACAAGGTCCTCGGAGTCGGCCCGTAGCCTTTCGAGGAGCGGGCCGGACACCTTGTAAGGGGTGGGGAGTGTGTACGGCTTCGCGAAGGCGACGGCCGCGTCAACGAAGGCTTGTAGCGCCTTCGACTTGGATACATTGAAGGCGAGGTCATTCTCTACCACAACTGCCGCCCACAGGTAATCTAGCCGCGAGCGCGCCACGGTATCCGCCATATCTCGAATGTCGCGCTGCCTAGAACGCCTTGCGGGCTGCATCTCGACCGAAGTGGAGGTAGAAGCACGGTTGGAACTGGAAGACCGTTCCCTCTCGGCGGCTTCACGAAGCTGCTTTGCAAACTCGGACGGGCACGGAGTCACATTCTTCTCTCGTAAACGAGGAGTCCCGTAGATGTGTTCTCTAATACGGGTCGCATTTGGGGTCACGGTAGCAGGGCAGTAGCTGCATGTTGCAGTGACTGTGCCATCTGGCCAAGTAACCTTCGACACATGCTGCCACACCTCCGAAAACGGTCTAACCATGATGTCGAGTGGGGAAGAAAGACTAAGACTATGAAAAGAGCAAATGCCCTGTCGAGTGAGTTTCTGGAGCAGCAATTTGTACTTGGATGTGTTGCTTTGGCGAAGGGGAACATGCGTAAGGGATGGGATGGACAGGATGGAGATTGTACAATCGCCATTGGCTGGAGAGGTTTCGCAGCGCGAAATTGAATTGTGGCGCGCATGCGGGCGAAAATTACGAAAGGGGCGCGAATCGAACCACCGACCTCGCGAAACGGATACACATTTGATATCCGTTCGCCAAATGTACAATTAACCGCGTCGCGCAAATCTGTACATTTGCGATTCGACGAAATACCTCAACGACATTTTGAACGGGCAACAAGCCTGCAAAACGCTCGCCAATATACACAATTTCGCGCCTCGAGAAATTGCTGACATTCGCGACTCGGGGAAAAATAGCACACGTGTGCATTTGGCAACCCTGACACCATGGTCAGACCGTTTTCGGTTGTGAAATGTTGAAATTCGCTATGTGCAAACTCGGTATCAATATTTCGGTCGTAATTTACGACCGTATTTTTAAACCAACATGTTTTTGCTTGTAACCGTTTTTTACCGTAAATTACGACCGTAAATTACGATTCCGTAAATGACGGTATAATTTCAAAATTTCGGTCGTATTTTTTAACCTTGCACACGACAAAGGCTGTGGGTACAGGGAGTAGTGTAGTGTGGTGCGGTGGGTGGGTGTGCTCACATCATGGATGGTTTGGTGGCTTTGGGAAGGAATGCTGGCCTTCATGAGCCATAATGGAGTCACAATGAGAACTGTCAATGATATGGATTTGTTGGCCTTCACGGGCCACACCACACGATGAGTGCTCCCTGCTCTCCCCGCCCCGCACCTCACAGTCCTTGATTGAAATAGGCCTCACTGAACAATGAACATGTTATCACACGCTGCCACGATGCAGCGCACCTGGCGGTGGTGGGCATGACTACATGCAAGGCACATGCCGGTCAACCTCGCACACGAGGAAAGGTAGCATCAATAGCACGAAGCCTCTGTGTTAGCTGCACTGACCACATTCTCACATGCTGCTACAATGAGCATCACGCATGCTCCTGCCCTCACACTCACCTTTGATATTTCCACGCCTTGTACCTCAAGCCCTAACTGCCCTAGCAACAGCAGAAGTGCATATCAAGTGCTAGAAGAGTATGTGGGTGGAGGGCAGGCAGGCAAAGAGCAGGCGCGGGGGCGCTCACCTGGGCGGCGGTGGGCAAGCTCTTACCTCCACCTCGAGCGGCTGGATGGCTGTGATGGCCTTAGTTGGCAGCGCCCAGCACTGCAGCAGCACCGCCCATGTCAAACTTCACGGGGTGGATCATTGAGCCCGGGCCTGCCTTGAGGGGTGAGTAAGGGTGAATAATAGAGGGGTACTACTAAAAAAGGTGAGTGGATGAATGGATAGGTGGAAGGGGGATGGGTGAATAGAGGGGAAATGGGTGAATGGAGGGAGGTTGTAGTAGCTACTGATCGGTGCGATGGAAGGTGACAGGAAGGGAATGGGGGAAGGGCAGGGAAGAAGGAAGGGACTGGAGTGAGGGGTGGGGGAATGAGCCGCCACGAGGAGCCATGACAAGGCACATGGACACCCATGCATACCTGTCGAAGGTGAAGTGAGCCCCTTGCCAATCAGAGCCAGCTTCCTCAGCGGTTTCTCCTCCCTCCACCCCTTCCCTTCCCCAGCACGAGCATTTCCAGCAGCAGGCGGAGTGTAGGAGACGTGGATGAACTTGGCCGGATTGTCTGCCGCGGATGCCTCTGCCACCGACCGCCGGGTGCGAACTCATGCCCTGGCCGGCACAGCACGTTCGTCCTTTTCCTAGATGCGCGCGACCAGGGCGCCCGCGTGGGCGCCACTCAAATTCTCCGCCACGTCAGCAAGAAAATACTGCCCTGACCACATTGGGTGGAGCGTTGACCAGTTGCTCGGAATGGATGATTTCGGCAAACAGTCTCTCCGCCTCGAACCCGTCCCTCCGAAGTGAATCCGCGTCACCGAGCCTAAACCACTTGCAACTCCTTCACACCCCTCCCCCCTTTCGCCCTCTCCTTCTCCTCTGCTTGAACCGCACATCCTCGAAGCTGCCTACTATGGCGCTCGTGACTATGCCCTGAACAACGCTCCCAACTTTAATCTCCTTCCCCTCGCCGCCTCTGCCTTGCCGAACGGGAGGGATACTACCTTGATGGCCTGATTCGTTTTAGACGACCCCTTGCGACGAGCGGGCTTTCCCAGCCACAGCAGCGCAATTCTTGTGAACTGTTGTGGGCTGTCCGCGAACGCGGAGGACTTGCGGATCGAGCTGCGGTTTCGCTCTGACATCCGGGTCGGTCCCACATCGGATGCCTTCTCAGCGAGGGCCCCTGACAGCGTGATGTCAAGAGATGCCAGCACCGCCAGCGAAGTCGGCAGCGAAGCCTCTTTGCTGCTGACGTGTCATCGCGAGGGATGGCGTAATTGTAGACAGAGCGAGAAGGAGTAGCCTGCGCTGCTGCAGCTGACATGCGGCGCCTCCCCCCGCGCTGGCGCATGACGGTGTGCGCCGACTAGCGGAAGGGGGCGGAAGCGGAGGCTGCTCGGTCTGCTGTACTTGCCGACAGGGCCGCTGCCCTGTTTATCTAGACTGCTGCTGCAGGTGTCACGGCGAGACAAGCTGCGTCTGATTGGTCGAACCGAGACGCGAGCACACGTGGGGTGAAGTCTATCCATGTGACACCCAAGGCTATTATAATGGAGTTACAATGCTTTTATAATAAATCTCAATACAAGCTGAAGCTCTAACTAGCTCCCAGCAGCCTTGGAGGTGTCAATCTTCTTGAAGGAGTTGTTGAAAAGGCTTGAGATAATTGTGTAGGAAGGCTCGTGAGAGAGCTCTCAATGACTTAGGCAAAACAATCCCATTTCCAATTTGTTTAGTTGGAGTGGGAGGTTGAGAATGAGCTTGCTTAGCTCAGACCCCCTCAATACACCCCTTGGGGAACTATCCCAACCATGGTTTCCATGGTGGGATGGTTCCTAGGCTTGGAGCATATGTGGCAATTGTGTTGGGTTGGAAAACCCAACTTAGAACCATTCAATGGTTGTGTTTAGGATAGAGTAGATTGTAACACTTGTTTGGCAGTTTTTGATTGGTTGGAATTCCAACCTTCAACATTCTCTTGGTTGAGTTGGAAATGTTCCAAACCTCCAAAGTTGAGGCTTGGCAAACCCAAACCAAGTTTCATCCCAACCAACTCAACCATCTTCTCCAACTCTTCCTTTGTCGAGAGAAGTTCTCAACAATTGACTTAGAGAGAGATCGATGGTTGTTAGCTTGGTAGTTAGGGTAATACGTTACACTCCTCCCCCCCCCAGGTGGCAACGTCCCCGTTGCCCTAGGGTGCTTCTGAGAACGAGTGCTTCGAGCACGGCGCACCACATTACGAACAGGGTCAACCCCGTCCACTGGTTGTGGGCCTGCTCGTAGAGCCAGGTCTTCCATATACGCTTGAACCGCTGCTTCGGTCAAGTGTTCCTCAGGCTCCCAAGAGTTGTGTTTCGGCCCATAGCCTTTCCACTGAATTAGGAACTCACGAACAGTTTTGCGGCCGCGTTGTCGATCACGGTGCGTTAGCACACGCTCGACTTCGTAAAAGAGTTCCTCCTCGAGAGCGATGGTTGGTGGCGGTAAGTACTTGCCTTCTGCAGCGTACTTATTCAACAGAGACACGTGGAAGACGTTGTGAATCTGCAATGTCGCAGGCAATTTGAGCCTATATGCGACCTCACCAACACGCGCGATCACCTTGAAGGGCCCAATCCAACGAGGGAAAAGCTTTCATGCTCCCGGGATCTTGAGACGAATGTTCTTCGTACTCAGTAATACTTTGTCGCCAACTGCAAAAACGACTTCCCGACGTTTCATGTCAGCATAGAACTTTTGCCTCTATTGGGCAAGCTGCAGCCAATGGCGAGCGGACTTCAATGCCGCTTGCTGATTTCCAATAAAGTCCTTTGCGGCAGGGATTTTGAGGTTCTTAATCCCATGCGTCGCGGGGGTTGTGGGGTTCCGACCACAAATCAGGACAAAGGGTTTCTCATGGGTGCTTTCATGCACAGAATTGTTTACAGCGAATTCCACGACTGGCAACAATTCATCCCAATCGTCCTGAGTTGGGCTTATGAAAGAACGAAGCATTTGCTCAAGAGTGCGGTTGGTCCGCTCTGTCTTTCCATCCGTTTGCGGGTGGAACGCAGACGACATCTTGAGTTTCGTTCCGAGTGTCTTAATGACCTCTTGCCAGAACCGGCTTGTGAAGCGCGGGTCTCGGTCAGACACCATCACACGAGGCAAACCGTGTAAGCGGAAAACGTGCGTCACGAACAACTTTGCAGTATCCTCTGCGGACACGTCAGTCGTCGTGGGCACGAAGTGCACCATTTTGGTCAAGCGATCTACAAACACTAGTATCGTTGTATGGCCATCTCGCGTCTTGGGGAGATCGGTGATAAAATCCATCGATACACTCTCCCAAGGTTCATCGGGAATCTCGAGTGGTTGAAGCAAACCACCAGGCTTCTATGTGCTTGGCTTGTGCCGCGCACACGTGTCACAGCGAGTTACAAAATGCTGGACCTCAATGCCCAATCCCGGCCACCAGTATATATCACTGAGGGCCCACCGGGTTTTCTTGACACCCATGT